TTCGAATGTCCTGCCTGTGAATGAATAACTTCTGTGTTTTCAGTGTGGATGGGCATTTCTCACATGAGCTTTGTGAGCAAGGTGCCTATCTTGTTAGTGTCTTGGCCCAGCGATGGACTGGTGACCCGTACAGGGTGCACTTCGCCTTCGGCCTGTTGACTGTTGTGATATGCCTCAGCTGTTACTGAACAAAGCTGTTGCAGAAATAACTGAACAAGTGTGTTTTCAAATATATATCACATTAAACTGGCAAAATATTCTCTATAAAAGCATATTTGAAAAGATTTGAGAAGTCCCTGCCAGCTTAAAAAAAAAAAATCAATAGTAATAATTCAAGCTGGCTCTCTTTTACTATTTATTCAGACGTTTTCTGTCTCTTGATGTCTACCTGGAAATGAGCAGTGAGCTAAAACAAACATAGCCCATCTGTGCTTCTTGCTTTATTAGAAAACAAGAGACAGGAAAGTGACTGTCGTAAAAATGTCAAGAGTTCAAGTTTGGATTGTTTGTCTTTACGCATGTCTGCAGTGCTGAACTGATATATCTGTATTTATAATGGAAGGACATGAACTGTCACATGGCAGTGACTTTGAAAAAGTCCCTATATTCTAAAACTATACGTTTCAGAAGTGTTGTGTATTCTTTGTGTGCAAGCGGTCACAAGCACTGGATACTGTGTAAACAGAGATAGTGCCTGAACACTGGTGAAGTTCCCACAGTGGACTCTTTATCTGCTGCCTTATCTCCAGTCCTCCTCTTATCCTCCCTCCTCAGTATCTTTCTGGGAAGATATTGAGCTTTTTGCTCATTTGGTTTCCAACAAATGCCATCAGGAACATCTTGGGGACCAGAGCAATAAATACAATCACAGTCTAGTTTGTTTGCAGTTAGCTGCATGTGCTTATGAGAGCAGACATTTGTCATTGTTTTGGACTTAATGATTTGTTTTTAATTATTACTATTATTATAATTTATAGAGACATAGACTAATTTTAATTGAAACAGCAAGGGTGTCTGACACTTATGTGATGTTACATTTAGGCCTTTTTGTGTGACTTGGCAATATTTGTTCATGAACAAAAAATCCTGCACAATGGTCACACAACAAAGGACAAATAATAGAGACGACTATTCACACGCTCACTCACACCTAGCAACAATTTAGTGTTACCAGTTAGCCTAAAATGCATGTGTTGGTGGCTCCAGGTGATCTGTAAACCTGTGACCTTCATGCTGTGAGATGACACCTTCAGTGACTGCACCACCGTGTCAGTGACCATTTGTTGATGACGTTGCTGTTCAGCAAAAAGGCAAAAAGAGTTGTCGCCCAAATCACCAGGGTCACATTCCACCCCCTCTGCACCCTTCAGTAAATATGTTAATTATAAATGACATGAGGTTGCTCCATTGAACGGGTGATGGTTTTTAAGTTAAGAAAAAAGTGTCAGTTCCCAAGTGAGTTCGTGTTTTACTTCTTTTTTTTGTTTTGTTAGTTACTGGGAACATGTGGTGTCTTCACATGAACCATCTGGCTCTCTTTGTATTACCCTAAATTGCAAAAAAAAAACTACAACAGTCTTTTTGAGGAAGGATAAGATAAATTGCCTCCTGCTTTACTCCAAGAGTCGTTAATTATTGAAGAAACACAAATCCAATCCTGAACACATGCCGGCAGCAGCAGCAGATTTGCTCGTTTGTGAGTCGCAACGACATACTCGCTTAAACTTTTAGTAGTGATTTAAAAAAAATCTTTTGATTATTTAGTGTATGCGTTCCACAATGTTAAAGCCATTGGATCCAAAATGTTTAAAATCAGTGGTGTAGTCCACATTTTTTGCAGTGGTGATACTGTGCTTAGAAACCAAAGTACACCAGTTAGTGCAATGCAATCGTTAATTTATTTTGATTTTTAAGCATATTGAACATTTCAAAATTTCTCCGATGCTTATATTACAACAAAACTTTGTACAACAGTTGGCTTTATATTGAAAACATATAGAATTTATAAAACGTATCAAAGCAAAACATGTTAAAGTATTAAGTAGCAAGTATAGAAGTATAAATAATACAAAAAAAAAACAGGTTGAACCAACTCAATGTGTCTATAAAATATTCCAGATGTGTTGACAATGACTCAAGCCCGTGTCACGTATCATTGCCAATAATACGTGACACGGGCTCGTGTCATTAGGCACGTTTAAGTGGGTATACTGAAATCCCCAAGCTTTTCGAGTGGGTATACTCCATATACCCGCGTACGCGTATCACAGACTACACCACTGTTTCAAATGCAAATACACTTAAGCTTATGGTTCACAGTCAAGTCACGTGCATGCATATGTGTTGCTATTTCAGTATATTAGAAAAGAAGGTATTAATCTAATTAGCTTTATACATCTGAATGAAACTGGAAACTTGTTTTTACCTACTTGAAATTGAAAAAAAAAATACAAATCTTTGCACTCAGGATACATTTTTTGTGCAATAAACGAACTGATTTTGTTGCATTTCCATCTGCTGTCTGTGAGCGTTCACATCCTTCCCATCTGCCCACTCTTCAAATGCACGCTCGCAGGTTCAAATGCAAAGCAGACGAGTCAGCGGGGAGAGTGCAACCAAAATAAACATGACAGGTGTTACTGTACACAGCCAGTGGCTTCCTCTTTCTTCACTGTTTGTAGTAGGAGGAAGCCGAGACGAGGATGGGTGGTTCTACACGCTACACTTCCTACAGATGCCCTCACTTCCATGCGCTCTGTGCAGATCCAGGAATGAGTATCATTGCTGTTTTAGGTTCCGTCATCCTGCTTCCTGTCACGTTGCCTTTTCTCAAAGACCGCAGGTGTCACTCAACATTGTTCAGTTGTACCACATAAAATCAGTTTGAGGTCAGTAAGCACAACCAGAATTAAAACATAAGGCGCACTGGATTATAAGGCTCACAGTTGATTTTTGAGAAAATTAAAGAATTTAAAGTGCACCTTATACTGTATTTTCCACCGTACACGTCACACCGCCCTATAAGTCGCATCAGTCCAAATATGTCTAACAAAGTGGAAAAATCCATAAATATGTCGCTTCGCCGTATACGTCGCATCTATTATGTGTCATCGCTGACGCGTCGCTTTTGTTACGCATCATCGCTGACAACCCGGAAATTTGGGCCAGTGTTGTGCCAAAAATCGATGGGCTGCCAAATGGCAGCCACTGGAGCGCGCACGGGAGGACTTTAACAAGATTAATAAGAATCAGAATCAGAATGCCTTTATTGTCATTTTACACAAGTACAATGAAATTAAGAGCCACTCTTTTTTTCAGTGCAAAAACATGCTTAAGAAAAACACACACTAAAAATATAAAAAAAAATTAACACTTAAAAAACAATTTGTGCGCTCAAAACTATAGCAAAGGAGTGTCTCAGTCTAACTTTTCCTTAATAAATGCACTTTGATGGTTAAATCAGCTGCATTTTAAAAGCCCATACACAGAAGCATGAGCGCGCAGAGGACGACTTGATATCTCTTTCTTCGAAATTTAACAAGATAACCACCTAAAAACAATTATTTGTTAGCTCGACTTTATAGCAAAGGTGTGTCTCGGTTGAACTTTTACTTAATAAATGCACTTTAAAGGTCAAATCGGCTGCATTTTGCCAGGGCAGTGCAGTGAAATGCAGCTGATTTGACGGTTGCTTCAGGCAGAGGAAGGTAGCAGGCTACGGCAAGCTGATTGTGTCACTAATAGCCACTTTTACCTATTACATGACACAAAGGCACGCCATGCTGCTCGACTGCCATCTAGTGGCTAAAAATGGTAGTGTTCAATATTTTCAAATGAAAATGGTCATATCTCAGCCAAAAATTGGTTTATAAATATGGGAAAAAATACATAAATATGTCACTTTGGAGTATAAGTCGCAGGGTATGCAAATTATGCAAAAAACAGGACTTATGCAGTGAAAAATATGGCATTGCAACTGCAGTACGTTGAGGTCAAGAGGTGATAAGAAAGAGTGTCGAACTGTGCAAATGTTGAACATTATTGTTGTCCACCCAGCTGCAGTCACTTCTGCATCACAAGAGCAGCTAGTGTTGCTACTGAGCACGTGTTGCTCTCTGGGGTTTAATATTTCTATGACATATCATCACTTTCACCATTTTGTGGATATCAGAAGAAAAAAAAAATCTGACAAGGTTTTCAATCCTATTTTATTTATTTTGAGTATACTTGTGTTAATGTACAACCTAGATTTTACATTATTTGCTTTATAGGCATTGCATGTTTTATTCTAGCAAATATGTGCCACATTGTAAAAAGAAACACTTTTTATGAAGATATATAAAATAATGTATTAAATTAATCTCTGAAGGAGAAAAATCTTTAATCAGTGCTAAAATTAAACATACATTTTGGTTGTAGATGTTAAAGTATGCATTTATTACTTACAGATCAGTGCTATTATGTCACTGAACACAAACATTTAACAACAAATTCTCCTTCTGTTCGTCTCCTCTTTGGCTCTAAAGTCAAGTGTGTCCAGCACACTGTGTCAGAGTTTGGCTGCAAAGATTTCCAAGTTAACGGAGAAAAACACTGATTTGTGAGCCGTTTAATAGCAATGATGATTTGCTCTGAACCATGGAGACTATTGCATTAAATTAAATTAAATAAATTGAACAAAAAAATGTGGTAATGGGGGAAAAAGAACTAAAAACCAATTGGAGGAAAAAAAAAGCCAATTTAAATTCTGAGTTCATTATTGTGTAATTGTGAATAATTCCAAAATTACAATGAAATAATTAATCTTTCATAATTGAAACGTGCTCTCAGTCAGTTAAATATCAGGAAACAAATGAGAACAGGAAGATGAACTTTAATTGAACTGGTTTTGCCGACCAGTTTCATTCACAGTCCTTTGAGTTCATCTTGTGCTCTGAACTTATGTGATGCCAGTGTAATTAAAACAAACTGGATCTCCTCTTTTGTCCCATTTCCTCCAGCGGCCCTGCTGGATGACCAGTCAGTGTGTGGTCGCGGTGAGCGCCTGGCGCTGGCTCTGGCACGGGAGAACATCAACAGTCAGATGGTGGGCACCTCCAAGGCGAGGGTGGAGGTGGATGTCTACGAGCTAGAGAAAGACTCCCAGTATGACACCACTGACACCAGTAAGATCTGTCTTTCTGCTTTTTTTCATGTTCTGGCAGAGGAAGAGGGCAGGAACAGTGAAGCTTCAACCTTTCCAAGTCAATAGTGCAGAAGGTGCAAATAGTCACTGCCTTCACTCTAACTGGACATTCATTATATTCAAGTGTCAAAAATATTATACACACACACATATATATATATATATATATATATATATATATATATATATATATATACATTAGTCCTTGAAACAAATATGTTGTGTTTTGTACTTAATAGCATATTACGTTATGGTCCTTTAATATTTTAAACATTTTTCTTGCTTGTTTCTGATTAGTCCAGAGTCAGTTTTGTTCCCCTCATCAAACATCCGATGAATAGATTACCTTTTCTTTATTACACGATGAGCAGGACATGCTGCGAGCGGTCAAAAAGACTCGAGGACAGATGGATCATTACCGTTTCAAGGTCCTGAACGTTAACAGAACACAAGGTCACGGTGACTTCAGCGCTGCAGCGTTCTGAACGAGCAGCTGTTGCTGATGTTCGATTACGATCGGCCAGCGACATGAGGACAGGCCTTTGGATTTCCTTTAAGAGCGTGCACGTTGAACAGCACGAAAAAAAAAACACAATGTCCAGAGGAAAAACATGCTGATTAAACTTTAATTGTCAACATTACATACATACTTTATTTATTTATTGTAAAGGGTAGCACTCTTAGATTTAAAAAAAATATATATATAAAATAAATTCTTAAAACAACTCAAATTTTGAAAAACTTGGAAAAATGTCATTTGAAACTAAATTAAACAATTTGCCAATCTTCTAAATCCAATTTTTCAAACAATAGAACATAATGCACATTTCAAAAGTGAGAAATTGTTCTGTTTTTTGAAAAATATTAGCGTAAATAGGAGTTTGATGTCACTAACCCATGTTTAACAATGTGATTCACCCCCTCCATTTTCAGGCAGGAAATATTTAGGAACTGAGGAGACCGGTGGGTGGTGTTGTTGGAGGCGACGGTTGTCACATTCTGGGCTGTGTTCAACACTCCTTGGACTTATTTGCTGGATGGGGGCATTGGGGGTTCAAAAACCTGTTTATACTGTTTTGGATTGATGGTGTCCATTCACACATGCGAGTTCACCATGCCATTGGCACTAATGCACCCATATACCATCAGAGAAACCTGCTTTTAAGCTGGGCACTGATACCAGACTGAATGATCACTCTTCTTTTATGTAAGAAGGAAGTGATTTCTAAGAAGAATAATAAAAATGTATTCATATGGCCAGAAAATGGTTCTCTGCTTTCATTTAGTTCATTTTTAATAAGCCTTGGCCCAGAAGGTGGCAGTGTTTCTGGAAGGTGTTCACATATTGCTTCTTCTGCGCAGAATAAAACTTTACCCAATATGTACCCAACAATTTCCTGCGGGATCAATAACTTTCTTATCTAACACACGTTAAGTGTGTTACACAAGTATGGAAGTGATTCTGAGGCCATGCAGGGAGGTCCAGAATAAAATCAGACCTGTTTTAAATGCAGCGCTGCCCGAGTGTCCCATATCACAGTTTCTTTCACGTAGTTTTAATTTTTTAAACAATGATATGAATTGTAAATTACAAGTTGTTAAAAGTCATTCCAATATTTCAACAATAATTTAACAAGATTAACACTTAAAAACAATTATTTGTTTGCTTGAAATTACAGTAAAGGTGTGTCTCAGTTGAACTTTTCCTTAATAAATGCACTTTAATGATCAAATCAGCTGCATTTTACCTGGGCGATGCGGCAAAATGCAGCTGATTTGACCTTTGCTCCAGGAGTTCTGGAGACAAACGTGGCTTGTATGGCAAGCCAAGTTTCTCATTAATAGCCATTTTTTACCTATTAATGTGACACTTGGCTTGCCATATTGGTCGAGGGTCCTCTAGTGGCTGAAAATGGTAATGTTTAATATTGTTCGTGTCAGAATGACTAAAATCGTCAGATCTCAGTCAAAATGTGGATTATAAATATGGGGAGGGGGATGTATATTAATCGCTTCGGTGTATAAGTCACAGGACTTGCAAATTTATGAAAATGGTGCGACTTATCCAGTGAAAAATCTGGTAACCTTATTTGTTGCAAAATACTCTTCCAGCTGTTTCACATTCACTTTCTTTTGTAGCTTTTTGCTTCATCCATCCCAACTTTTTTTAGATGTGTTGGTGCCATAAATTCCAAGCAACCCCTTATAAAATTTAATTAAAAAAATGCAATTTCTTAGTTTAAAAATGTGATATGATTGCTATGTTCCACTGTAAATAAAATGTGGGTACAGGAGATTTACAAGCTATGTATTTACTTATTTGTTACATTTTAAACAACATCACATAATTTTTGTTATCTACGTAGATTGTAAAATAATGGAAAAAATAACATAAACAGTTAAATATATGTTACTTTAGGCACTGAATAACCCAACTCTTGACAAAGAATAACAACAACCTTGTATTTCTCTCTCAGCAGGACAGTTAGGATGACAAGATGACGTGTGTTATTGTATTTTGGTAGCTAACACTGACAACATGTGAAATCACGCACTCGACCCATTTAATTTTATGGTAGCTAATAAAAACAACGTGTCAAAGTTGGTGGAAAGTGGAATCCGAAAAAGCCGACTGACACAAAAGGGCTCAGAACAAAGAAGCTGTTGTGGCAGCAAAACACAAAGTAACTGAAAACACAAGACAGGAGAGAACACAACACAATGACCCGCTGAAGACAGACTGAAACTGAAAGATGGGAAAGTAGCTGCAGGTGAGACTAATTAATTACAAAAGACGTGTGAGTGGAGTTAACAGGCCTGGGTGACCGAGTGAAAATGTATTTACTTTCATTTAGACAGCTAATCTCATAGAAGCAGGTAGTCTGGCTGATACGTGGAGACACTGAGAAGCTAAAGACAAGGACTCTCATAAAAACAAAAACAAACAGCACCATGGCAAACTATATTCAAAACAAACAAACAAAACATAAACTCATACATATGTCAGAGGAAATACAAACACAAGAATCATGACACTACCGGCCAACCGTTATGATGCTTTGTTATTTAACATTTTTGTTTAAATAATGAGTTTTTTTTTTGTTGTTTGTAAAATTTGTATGTAAATGTGATTTTTTTTTTCTAAAACAGCTGCATGGAAAACATTTGAAGTCATATAAAGGTCTAAAATGAAATATTGTTTCTCATGTCAGTGTGTCAGATCCTGCCAAAGGGCGTGGTTTCTGTGATTGGCCCCGCCTCCAGTCCTGCTTCTGTGTCCACCATCAGTCACATCTGTGGAGAGAAAGAGGTGAGCCCCGTCAAGCTAAGCCATCTGATCACAATGTGACATAATAATAATAATAATAATGTCATCACAATGTCAGCACTGTATGTTTCCATACAATGGCGAAATTAGTCTCTGCATTTAACCCATCCACCACCAGGTGGTGCAGTGGGCAGCTATTGAAAGCGCCCGGGGGACATTTTGGGGATTAGACGTGCTGCCCAGAGACGCCACGTGATGTGCAGTGACTGGGGATCGACCCTGGGACTCTCGGGTCCCAAGCCGGCTGCCCTGCCTCTAAAGCTTCATATTTGTGTCCACTGAGAATTGAATACAGTTTTTTTTTTTTTTTTTTTATTGTTTCGTACAATATTTGGGTATGAAGTGACACAACTATAGGATGTTGACGGCTAAGATAAACCAATATGTACCCCTTACTGATGAAAAAATAACTAAATCAATAAATATATCATTTTTTGTGTATTAAAGAAACTAACAATGCATCTGTTTTTATTTTTATTTTACTCAGCTAGAGATATAAACATCACTTCTGAAATGAAAATATTCTTTACACACCTAAAAGAACTACAAAATAAAAATAAAA